AGTGTGAAGGACTGAAGGAACTGTCCAAGGTCCTGAAAATGCTGGAATGTTTCAGGACTTTAGACCTGTGGTTTCCAACCTTTTTAGGCTGTGTACCACTTGAGCCATTTTGTCATACCACTAGTACCCCTTCAGTCAAACCTAATGATGATTCTCCAAAACTATAATTTACTACAACTGACAATTAAATGTAAATTATTATTTAACCCCCTAGAACATTTAATTCTCAGGCATTTTATTTTTTCTGACTCAAATTAAACATAAAGATAAAAACATTGCCTTGAAAGTGAATAAGTAATTAAATAAATCAACAAGGTAATGGCAGATGCAGAAAAAGCAGTGTCCAAAATACATTGTATTGTCCAAAAATATATCAGAAACGAACCCAAATGAGCAAATTGTGAGATTTCATGTTTTAAACTGGATTCCATTTTGTGTAAATTCTGTGATTCCCTCTGCAATTTCTGAATTGGGGAAATCATAGGGCACTACATATYTCAGTTCTATTTTTATTTTTTACACACCTGGGAAAATTTTCTCATGTAACCCTGGTTGGGAATCATTGATCCAACAGTCTGCAACATTAAATTTTGATGATAAATTCAAAAATATAACTCRTTACATTTGGCACTCTGCATCTGCCTGATTTGGGACATATGTACATTCTGCATTTAAAACAYGCTTTTCCTTTTAGTGCTCACAGCTGCACTTTAAATATGAACWGATAGACTTACCATAGCAACTTTACCTTGCTAAAACTACTTAGACCCTCATTACAGTCTGCCTGCACTCTATATGTTATCTCTGGTTTGGTAGGTGTCCTATGTGAAAGCCATAGACATCTGGATGGCTGTGTGTCTTCTCTTCGTGTTCGCGGCGCTGCTGGAGTATGCAGCTGTTAACTTTGTTTCACGGCAGCACAAGGAGTTCTTCAGACTGAGGAGGAAGCTGAAAGAGCAGCAGCAGCGGCAGAGAACTGTGAGTACARCCCACCCACTCAGGCCCTCGGGCAGCTGTCACCTGCTATTCACTGCGCCCAGCTACGCAGGAGCAACAGTTCAAATGCATGCTGGGAAACACAGCCAGCAATGACCTGTAATTAATCCAAGTCACCTTATTTCACTCTTCAGAGTTTTCTCAGCTCTTATTGTTGGATGTTTCTGAGAGAAAAAGAGACATAACAGCAGAAAAACAGGCCAACACTACCTTATAATGTAAATAACTACCTAAATAAAATTGTGTGACTAATTTGAAAAAACAAAGACAAGGTTTGGTTTATGATAAAAGTTGTGTTATTTGTTCACTGTCAGCAGGGAAGCAGTGACAGTAAGGCGAAAGGAAACAACACAACAGGAAACAATCCTTCTCATGGCAGYCAGAGGTGCAGTGCCTGTGCCAGGGTACGTATGACAGTTTCTTGTTCAGGTCACATCACTGAAGTAGTATGGAAGGCCGCTCATTTCATTACCACGTCAATTCTTTGTTTACGTGTTGATCACGTGTTAGAAGTGACATGGTAATGAAATGAGCGGCCTTCCATAAAGTAGAGACACATTGGAAAGGCCACAACACAGTCTATTCCAAATGTGTGCCGCCATCTTGGTAGGTGCTAGTGGGCTTTCCTAATTACTGCTAGCATGGCAGCTGACCTGGTTGAGGAACTCAATGATTTGCTTTTAACTGTTCTAAGTATTAAAACATACACTTTAAAGAATGTTGTGATTCATATCTTTTTTTCTTTTACATAGTGTCTTGCTCCCTCTAGCAGCTGCTAGCGCTTGACAGTTATTTTTTTAAACATATTTTTATTACTTCATCATTTTGCATGGATTAACGATACGCCATTGGAAAATAAATATATATAAGCAATAAATTAAAATACCCTAAGTAACAAGTCAACAACATGAATACAATAAATAAACTTATACAAGGGTGGCCAACAGACTTTAGCATCAGTTTATATTACAACTCCTCAGCATTTACACTATCATTTTAGGGTTTTATTCATGATTATTGTGTACAGCACTTGGGTCAACTGTGTTGTTTTAAATTGCTTTTTATATAAACCTGGAATGGAATGGGTTATAAGTTTCAAGAAATGCATAAAAGACTGCCAAAATGTCCCAGAATAAGTCACATTTATTCCTTGAAATGTAAGTTATTTATTTATTTATTTTTTCTAAAAGCCAAGGTCAACATATTTTTGGTTTCATTTCCCCAAAAAACCTGACTCAACACATTTACTTGACAGAGTTGGTGGGAGGCTCATCACACTGTAATACATTAAGTCAAAAAAGATGGTCTCTATGTGTTTTTAGACTAAAGACACAACATACAGCACAAACAAGATGTTGAAAATGTGTGGCTTCAACATAATGTCACAGAGTAAAACTATATGTAGCACCTTGTAAGATGGCAGGCATGAACCTCACTTAGCTCTGTAAGCGGCCCTTCCAGTGTTTTCAGGTGGTTCAGATCTCAAAGCTCAAACTAAAGTGTCCTTTCKCGGGCTGTGTTTGTGTTTTCCAGGAGGAGGAGCTGGCACAACAGGGCTTCCTCTTCCAAAGCATAGGACTCGCTCTGTCAGCAGGGAGCGCTCCAGAAATGGACGCCACACCAGTATTTGCCGACTTGCCACCTGGTTTGGGGTTTTACGAAATACGGCGGCGCTTCGTTGAGAGAGCAAAGAGGATCGACACCATCTCCCGAGCCGTTTTCCCCATGAGCTTCCTCATGTTCAACGTCCTTTACTGGCTCACTTACAAAGTTCTTCGACATGAAGATGTTCAGCTCACAATCTGAAGATGTGCAGAACGAAGAACTTTGACTCTGTTAGACTTCCAGTTCTGGTCCAAAACTTTCACAGACTGAGAGTACCTKGACTGCACGTTGAACTGGGAAATTCTAGGATGTTAAAAGGAAATCTGTGGGTTTATTGATGATTATTTATTTTGATGCTTCTCAAAAAAATACACAATAATTTAGTGTAGATCAAGGGGGGGTCACAGTCAATGAAACAGCTCAAGGGCCGAACATCCAACAGATATTGTCATTATGTGTATTTATTTAAGATTTCAAATTTAATTTAAAATAAACTTATGAGCTGGATGTGGCCCCCGGGCCGCCAGTTGAATGGGCCAGGTGTAGATGCAATATAAGCCACAAGTGAGTCACTTTTACGGGACCATTTCTGTACATGCAGCCAATGATATACGTCCAGGTTGATATTTATTTACTGCACACTGATTCTTACAGGTTCTCTTGCTTGGTTTACAGCTTTCATTTATCCAACACGTTCCTACAGGTTGGACCGAAATAGAACCAAACGAAGTTATCACTACAATGAACTGCACTTCTTTCTCAACTTTATTTACAAACCTGATTATTCTACTGTACACTGAATAACTCTGAAATTAAAGTCAAATTTTACAGACATGACTATTTTATGAATTAACTATCAAGGGAATAAGAATAAAGACTAAAATACATTTTTCTTCAGGGTGTGTCTTGCTTATAATAAACACTTAAACTGCCACCCTTGATTATTAAACAGTGATGAAGGCAGAATGGCAATCTTGTTATTGCTGGTGTTCGACTGTTAATAAAATATCACATGAMCCACTGGATGWATTCGAATTAGCTTTTACAAATGATTAACTTTATTTTAAAAAATGTCAGCTGTGTCAAYAAGAGTATTCTCAGTTTACACATTTCATGTCATCTTAATGTTTTAATGTTCACATTTTGACTCTACTGAGCTGAAATCATTGCAACACAGCTTTAACCGTTAGTCCTTCAGCTTAGACCTATCTGACTGAAAACGATCACAATAACTGCTCTTACTTGGTAAAAAACACCAGAGACTGTCTCTAAAGCTTCTACAAACACGCCGACCTTACAGCATTTAGCTCCTTTAAGACCAGACTACCTGTGCACAAATCGCTGGAAATAACTCTGCTGTCAGAAACCAGCCTTTTTAAAAATAAATCTTGGTTTTAAATGCAGCTGCTGCATAAATATTTTATCTAAAGTGAAGCAGTCACATGCRTACACCAAACAGAGCTGCTCAAATGAATGAAATAAGTGTGAATAACTCATATTTCTTTTAGTGTGATGATCATCGATACAGAAATGTTATAGTTGCAAATATAAAATGCATTTCACTTTAGGAATTTATTATGGAACTCTCTCATAAATGAGATTTTTAATCTGTTATCAAAAACTCAAGCTAAATTGAAAGGCTCCTTGAAGGAAGGCATATYGTCTTACAATCATGCTGAAGATTTTAAACATTACAAAGTTAYAAGCTGCTTCCATGAAACCTTGTAAATGATAAATAGACGATAACAAATTTTACTGGATGATAAATTGTGTCAGAAATTATTGCGATGAATGATATTGTTGACCAGTTTAAACTAAAATAACAATATAACCTCTGTTTACGGAAGTTTACAATAAAATTTTACATAGTGTAAACAAAAAAATAAAGAACTGTCGGCAATCCCAAGGCATCGCCAGCTGTATGAAGGCATCAGAAAACTGGCCTGCTCACAGGCTTTCATGCTACAGAGGTTAGGAAACCATGTACCAAATACCTGATGCCAGAGTTCACTACTCTCTACTAAGAAGTAGAAAAGAGAAAAACACGAAGAAAACAAACAAACAAACAAACAAATGAAAATTGTCTTAAATTTATCTTTCTCACTTTAATTGATCATACAATTAACTGATTTCTTGTTTATTGTGACAGGCCTAATGATATACCAACTCATGCAATACAGAGAACCCTCACAAGATTTAGGGATTGGACAAGAAACTGAAACACCTGGTTTTAGACCACAATAATTTATTAGCATGGTGTAGGGCCTCCTTTTGCAGCCAATACAGCATCAATTCGTCTTGGGAATGACATATACAAGTCCTGCACAGTGGTCAGAGGGATTTTAAGCCATTCTTCTTGCAGGACAGTGGCCAGGTCACTACGTGATGCTGGTGGAGGAAAACGTTTCCTGACGCGCTCTTCCAAAACACCCCAAAGTGGCTCCATAATATTTAGATCTGGTGACTGTGCAGGCAATGGGAGATGTTCARCTTCACTTTCATGTTCATCAAACCAATCTTTCACCAGTCTTGCTGTGTCTATTAGTGCACTGTCGTCCTGATACACGGCACCACCTTCAGGAAACAATGTTTGAACCATTGGATGCACATGGTCCTCCAGAATGGTTCGGTAGTCCTTGGCACTGAGGTGCCCATCTAGCACAAGTATTGGGCCAAGAGAATGCCATGATACAGCAGCCCAAACCATCACTGATCCACCCCCACACTCCACTCTGGGCATGCAACAGTCTGGRTGGTAYGCTTCTTTGGGGCTTCTCCACACTGTAACTCTTCCAGAAGTGGGGAGAACAGTAAAGGTGGACTCATYAGAGAATAATAYGTGTTTCACATCATCCACAGCCCAAGAATTGCGCTCCTTGCACCATTGAAACCGACGTTTGGCATTGGCAAGAGTGACCAAAGGTTTTGGTATGGTGGCCCAGTCGTATATATTGACCCTGTGGAGCTCCCGACGGACAGTTCTGGTAGAAACAGGAGAGTTGAGGTGCACATTTAATTCTGCCGTGATTTGGGCAGCCGTGGTTTTATGTTTTTTGGATACAATCCCGGTTAGCACCCGAACATCCTTTTCAGACAGCTTCCTCTTGCGTCCACAGTTAATCCTGTTGGAYGTGATTCGTCCTTCTTGGTGGTACGCTGACATTACCCTGGAYACCGTGGCTCTTGATACGTCACAAAGACTTGCCGTCTCGGTCACAGACGCGCCAGCAAGACGTGCACAAACAATTTGTGCTCTTTTGAACTCTGGTATGTCACCCATAATGTTGTGTGCCAGTCTCTGCGTTGTGTTAATAACGACAGGCTCAGGGGTTCCAGGTCAGCCTAACTGATGGCATGTTTATTCTGCACAGAATGAAATTAAACATTTCAGCAGCACAWATTACACCCAGCCGACATCAGTTCACCCTTCCTCTATTACAGTCTACAACAGTGTTTTACCACAGTAATCAGCATTAAATGTTAATATAAATATCCAGGTTACAAATTTTAAATCTTAAAGTAAAATAAAGGAAACACACCACTGGCTGACCTCTGTGATTAATAACAGAAATGCATAACAACTTGCACATTGTTGAAACTAAATATATAAAACTTCAAAAATTAACAATAAAGTTCAATAAAAAATAAAAGAGAAACAACATACCTGCACAGAATGGAATTAAACATTTCAGCAGCCCAGAAAACACCCAGCCAACCTCTGTTCACCTGCCCATGACAAAGGAACCACACAAATAAATAAATAAATAAAAAACACTGCACAGAGCAGGAGGGCAGTCGACTTTTCACACGTGCTGGAACAATAACACTTGACAAAATATTTCCATTCTCCGCCAAACTTTATACACAAAAAATAAAGACACGTCTCAGAAACACATACATATTGTAAAACATTTTGTTCTCTACAGCAACTTTTAGACAGTAGAACAACAGAAGCCCTGCAAAAAACTCACCTTCCTCCATTACAGTCTGGAACAGTCTGGTGGTGAAGGAGGAAGTGGCATCAC